GGGGAGGGGGGAGGAGGGAGGAGGGGACGGGTATTTGTATACACAAGGAGTGCAATGCGCACCACCCAAAGGATGGACATATTTGAACATGGACTTGGGGGGGGGGACCAAGGGCAACATACATAACCTTAACATCTGTACGCCCATAATATGCTGAAAAAAAAGAAAAAGAAGAAAAAAATGAAAAAAAAAAACAAAACATTACTCTATTTACATTTCCCTTAACTTAGAGAAGAAATTTAATTTAGAACACTTAGACTTACCTTAATTAAAATTTCCAATCAAGATACTGGTTAGAAAGACAAAGAATTTGACATCAAATACTCATGGAGTAAAATGGTGTTACATAAAATGTTATCTGTTTGTTTACAGCCTGATAAAAATGAGAACTCTAACCCCATAGTAATGAAAATACCCTTGTTCCATCCCAGAGTATAAAATTCAATTATTTTCCTCTGGACAAAAGAATCACTTATGGTCATATGTTTAGTTTTCTGTCTCCTTTCTGGTAATCCTTCCTTGGAATGACAAATAGCTAGCTCCACCCAGGAACTAGACGAGATCCCAGTCAATCTGGAATTTTAGTTTTTTCTTATTATGTGTGAAAGATAGATATTAATCAATAGAGCACCAAATATCTGGAAAGAAATACAAAACTAAAAAAAAAATCCCCAGGATTTCCAACAAATTATCACTTTTTTGTTTTTTCCAACAAAAAATTACTTTTGTTTCCAACAAATAATCGAAATGACTGATTTCATTTTTCTCTAAGTCCCTTAGAGATCACCTAGACCTGGTCCAAAGATGAATCTACGGTATTAAAATGGAATAAAGTTAAGTTGTCTCTAAAGAGTGGTGTCCTTTCTCACAAGAAGAACCTCAGGAAAATCTACAGTAAATTATTCACATCTTTTAAAGTTTGCATTCATCTTATTAAAATTATAAAATTATTTATTAAAATTAATAAACTATGTCCTGTTCAAATCTTCCTTATAGTTCTAACGTTTCCTGAAAAATCACTTATTTTTGTATCCTGTGATTTATTTTCTCCTCTTCTTGGCCCATAGACAAAGTTTGATTAAAGAAAGCATCGAATCTAAGTCCCTGGGTGCCCTGAGCCATGTATCTTTGCTTTGAATTTGGGCAATTCTCAAATTCAACTTAACAAACATGTATACATTAATTGTGCGTGTATTATGTCCTGGGCACACCGCTAGTTCTTGTGGGAGCAGAGAATATAAGTCACAGGGCTTGTCCTTAAGTAGTTTAGTATGTAGGCAGAAAGATGTTTACATACCACATTTTACACTAGTCACCTATAAAAACTATTATCATTGGTCTATAAACAAATGGAAACGAGAAAAGGGAGAATTTGTTCTACTGGAGAGATCAACAAAGGGCTCAGTAATAAGGTGATAATTGAGTTTAGCCAGGTCAATCCAAGAATTCACAAGGCCCAATACATACAGATTTTATAAATTAAGAGAAATCCTAGAATTTAAAAAGAGAAATTAGCAGCATTTAAAATGCTCTTATCATCCTCTTCAGAGGCCCCACTGCACTTTGTACCTGTCTCTACTCTGGCAGGAATTGTCAAAGATTTCACACCAGGTGCGTCACCTGTGACAAAGAGGGCTGCACAGCAGGGTCAGAGCCATATCACCTGCGATTCCCAGTGCCAAGCACTCGGCACACAGTAGACAAAGTTTCTTAAAGGAGTGAATGGACTGAATATTTTAATAGCACTTTGTAAAGTCAATCAAACTTTCTAATTTATCTGTGTTTACAAGTAGATGCTTTTGGATTTTGAGTCCCCAAGGTGGCCAGTGTCTGCCACGGGCTTCATTTTCCAGTGGCTTCATCTTGGTCTCATCTTTGGCTGGCTCAGCTAAGGGGAGGGGACACAATGCAGATCCCTAGCGATCACAGTTGTCTTGTCACAGTTTCCACCTCCATGCTAGGACCCTCACTCATCCTGAATGAGTTCACACACATTCATACATTCCTTTCAAGACGACTTGCAGAGATATAGAAGGGATATATTCTCTAGGTTTAACTTGCTGGGCGGACTTGTACCATTGCCACCACTGAGCAGAGCCAAGAGAGCCAAAATCTCAGGTTTAAGATCAAACACACATGCATGCGTGCGTGCGCGCACAGACACACACTCCTCCACGATGCACAAAGATGCTAGCATGGGCACACAGCATACAAGAGCGAAAGTGCGAAAGGAGACAACAGAAGTTGGCTGAAGCCTAATGGAAAAATAATGGTCTGAAATGGGCAAGAAGTGAAATCAAGATAGTCATCAGTAAGCATGATCATGGAGCCAAAAAAAAAAACCAAACATTTATCATTACTCTCTGCAAAATCACCTCCTGTCACCTCACAAGAGCCACTGGAATATGCCTATATTTTTTACTTTAGTAACTTTTATTACTTATGCCTAGGTGTAGTCTTTGCTTCCCAGATAATTAATATTTTACCATTAAATCTCTGATTCTAAATGTTACCCTCTTCTTGTTTATTAACGTTATTACTTTATTTTATTATCTATAATAGTAATATATGCTCCATTTTATAGTGGAATATAATGGGGGAATGCTATTTAAGTTTCTAGAAACTGTATTTTGTAGTCACATATATTATAGAAAATACAACTTTTTCATTTAATGCAAGGAGAGGCAGTTAATAGCCATTAGGTAAATTATAATTCATTTATAATATTTAAGAACTTATTTCAAAAATATATTCTAGAAGAGAAGATTTGAAATAGTCACAACATAAAGAAATGACAAATGTTTGATGATGGATGTCCCATTACCCTGATTTGATCATTACACATTATATGCATGTATCAAAATATCACATGTCCCCCATAAATATGTACAACTATTATGTATGAATAAAAAAGAGTAAATACAATCCATTAAGTAAGGCCAATAAAAAGTCTACTTTATTCTGGCACAATCTAAGCCCTTGCAACTTCAGGCGTGGTCTATAGAACAACAGTAACAGCATCAGGCAGCTTGTTAGAAACACAAATTCCCAGGCCTGCCTTAGACCGGTGAACCAGAGTCTGCATTTTAACAAATTCCCCCCATGATCTGCATGCACACTGAAGTTCTAGAAGCACGAGTTACCCAATCACAGGGTTCATGGAAGCTCCACGAAGAGAAATTATTCCATGAACCTTTACTTATTTTGAGTTTCCTTTCAAAGATCCCACATGCTAATTATTTTCCATATCTTGCCTAAACTTACATTAAGATACAATCCTGGAATTTGGTGACCTCCTTATTTTTCATTTTCCAGCCAACCTGATGGTGCTGTGTGTTACAAACTCTCCCCATCACCTGCTCCACCAGAGAATCAGGCATGTGAGAGGGTGAAAAGGAGAAGGCACTGATTTGAGTCAGAGCTTATCTGGAAGACCGAAAGTCCTTTTCATTGCATAATGAGGATTTAAACCCCACTGTCCCCACTATGCTTTATTCTCTAACGACTGTCTTAGGCTCCAAGCAACAGAGTCATTTTTACAAAGGAAAACCCCCGATCTCTCTACCCACCAGCTTTTGTGTTTCACACACCAAGTGAGTCAATCAGGCATTTCTTGGCTTGAGTTTATTCATTGTTCATCTTCAAAATTTGTCACCTTGAGAAGCTAAGGAAAAGCTGAGTCCCCGGTACCTTGAAACATGGTCGTTGATAGATATCCCAGCCAACTAGCTGACAACCAAAGGGAAAAGTGCCACTGTCTCCCTTCCTAAACTTGATTTCATAAAGACAAGAGACCTATCCTTGGCCTCAAAACCAAGTGCCTCCTCACCATGACCCTTTTTGTATTGGAGTGAGCCTACTTAGTGGATATTGATGGCGACACTGATTATGACAGCAGTGACAAGAGTCCTTCATCCTGCTGAAGCTACGACAGGATGAGAATGTGTGGAAAAGGACCTAGCTATTTTAACTCTGTAAGTAACAAAGGACGAGGACATACCCAAGCTGCATCCCAGACACCCTTCTTCACAAGGCACACATCCTTCATAGTCTGGGTCTTGCACTTCACCTACACAACGAGAGGAATGAAAAATAGAATTCAGTTCCATGGAGTGGAGACACATTAATTGCTGTAAAAATATGTTGGTGTGTGGCTTATTTTAAAGTAAATCATTGAGCAATTATGAAGCCCAAAACCATCCTTGAGAATATATATATGGCATCCACTTTTTAAAAATCTCTTTCTATTAATTTAATAGAATGGATCTGCTTAATTGGGGGCAAATAAAACCAAGTTGGACTATATGCCATGCAACTAGTTTTGAAGTCAAGATGGTAGATTTTGAATGTGAGGGCAACCTGGCTGCAACATCTGTCACCCCTTCCATCATCAGGGTTGATTTGGCTGATCCGGCTGGCTAGGCAGATGTTCCCTTCCTCCCTCACTGCTACATGTGTGTCCCTCCCGAAGCTGCGTGCTGGTCGAAGAGGACGACCTTCCCCAATAGAGGAGGACCATTCTTCAGTCAAGGGTGTACAAGTAGCTGTGCTCCTCTGCTAGAATCTCCAAACAAACTCTCAGGATGGTAGATTTTATTTATTAAAGAAATCTATTCTGCTTTTGGGAAAATGGAATTAGGTATCTAAATGAACAGGTTCTGTCTCTCTTTTAATCTGTCCTACTAAACACTTTTTAAAAATGTTTTAAATCTTTTACGGCATTGATAAACATTAAGGAGAGACAGAAATGAGTATCTTAATAATTCTGAAGAGGTCTTGGAGCTCTCTTCAGCACCAGATCAGGCATAATTCTGATATCGAGCAGAGCAATGGTCTGTGGCATTCTTACATAGAGGGGAGCCAAAATTATGTGCTGTTTTTAAAGTTTCCTCTTCCAATATGAGATAAGAAATTGGGCAATAACAATAACACATACGATTCTCAGACCACTTTCATATTTTCAAGTAGTTTTAGGGCAGGCTGATTCTTACTTGCTTCTCACAGCAGCTCTCTTTGGTCCTGTGGTACTTTCACACACGAGGACACTAAGACATGGGCAAATTAGACTAGTTTTGCCCAGGGTCTTATGTCTAGTAATCGGGAAGCAGAAAATCGCTGGCCAGGACTTTCAGTTTCTAATCTAATTTTTTTCGCCACTATGTGCTTTCCACAATTCCACCCTCCCCAATTCAAGATGATTTTCTATCTGATTAGCTGCATTCCTGTGACTTTGGATTGTGTCTGGGGAAACCTCGAGAAAGGGTATGTAGGGGAAGAGAGAGGGGCAGCTACTACTGTCCCCACTTGATATATGGAGTCACCCAAAGTCATCCTAAGCGCCTACACTAAAGCCAGGAAGGCAATTCAAATCTCCAGAACATCTAGGATACATCTCCTCTTCCCACCTCCTGGGGAGGGGCAGGGGCTCCAGAGCAGCAGTACCTTGTCCACACTCTAACTTCTGGCAGGTGTGGTTGGTGGGCACTAAGAAGTAGCCATCCATGCATCTCGTGCAGACACGTGGGCTGTAGCAAAGCTCGCAGTTGTCTGGGCAGGGCAGGCAGTTGTGCCCCTTGGTAGGGTAGTGGCCTGCTGGGCAGCTCTCTCGACACTCTCCCTGGTACAGGAAGCGTTCTTGGCCATGGTCATCTGACCAGTTAGAGGGGTAACAGAAAGAGAGAAAATGTGCAAAATTAGCCTTGAAGCTAATGTATCGTAAAACATTTTATTGAAAAAAGATACGAGTGAGTGCTTTTGCTCCTGGGGGATCAAGAGTATAAGAATAGACTTAATGAAAAGTGCAATATCTATATCCTTGTAGTTGAAAAGTTTTCCTTGCAGGGAATCATTTTCTAATATTTTATATATTTGAGTGAACAGCAACTACTATCTGGGATAACATTGCAAAACCACAAGCCATTCTCTGTGAATAACTACAATTCAAAATGTGTTTAACTTTCCTAAGGGCTCCTTTTGGAATCTGTGAAAGCTCTCAGACTTGGGGGCAATAGAGAACCCATGAGAATAAACAGATGCTTAATGATAGACACATTTTATGAAAGTGAAATCTTTTAAAATGATTTTGAATTATCAAAATCACACGCTTGTGTTAACCACCTAAGTTCTGAATTTTTGCACAGCTGTCAATTCCCACAGGGATGGCCTTATTGAAGTCCCAGACCCAGCACACCTCTTCAACTCCTTTGCATGCATTCCTGAGGACTCCTGACTTCTGTCAACATTGAACTCTGTAAGGAAAGAATCAGTGGTACCTCCGGCCTGACAGACTATGGGAATTTGTTTCTGAGGGGATTGGAAAATTCGAATCAACTACGAAGCATCACAGTTAGTTACAAAGAATTATAATTAGTTACAAATATAAAACAATAAGGTTAATAGAGATGCACCTAGAGGTCTCCTACTCCCACCCTCCTGGAGTTTTTGTGGAGAGTGTGCTCAGGTATCCATCTTCTCTGAATCTGTTACCCAGCATAAGAGGGGTCTAGCGTTCACTTACCATGTGTCTTACCACATGGAGATCCAACACCATTGACCTCTAGCCTGAGCAAGAGCAAGACCCTGTCTCTACTAAAAATAGAAAAATCAGCTGGGGATGGTGGCATATGCCCATTGTCACAGCTACTTGAGAGGCTGGGGCAGGAGGATCACTTGAGCCCAGGAGTTGGAGGTTGCAATGAACTGTGATGATGCCACTGCACTCTAGCCAGGGAGACAGAGTGAGACTCTGTCTCAAAACAACAACAAGAAGCACAAAAACCAAAACCATTGACCTTCAAGATGCAAGGCTGCTGAATTTGTGGGTAAAGACAGAACTAACCCCATGTTGCAAGGGCAGAAACTGAGAGTCAGTATCATGTTAGAATGAAGCACATGAAATTGCTCATATTTGACTATTTTTTTTACCTGTAAACATGGTGCTTTCATACAGTTTACTGTAATATTTCTTATTTAATCAAAGTCCTAGTTCAAATACAATTTAAAAAACCCCTTGCATTACGTGCTCTTGAGCTATCTCTTTTCTGAATGTGATTTCATACCAGAAATCTACTGGTTCCTGTGGGGCCAAGAAAACAAAGAGGACTTCCACAGAGGTGATGGAAAAAAGTATTCTGCTGTTGCCAACTTAGATTTAGAAGAACATTATCCTCTAAGGGAAGGAGAGTGTTTGGGAGGAGGTAATGTGCATTTGGTGATTCTACAGCTATAGATCAGTGTCGTGGAGCACGAAACTTGATCTGGTGGAACCTGGAATCTTAGGAGACCACAAGAGGGCCAACCTTGTGAACCTCCAAGTTATGTTCTTCTCAGCCACTTTATGACACTCTAGCCAACCATAGCCAATTCCATTTCTATCACGACTCATTCAGAAAAAATTCTGTTTTTCAGAGTGCACCACTTTCTCAGATATCAGTGGGAAGATATGAAGGAGAGCAGTGAGGACGTCTACCTCTCCTCCACCCCCTACACCTTCACATGACACCAACTCAGGATCCAGAGGCATTTTTGAGGGTTCCTGGGTCAGTCTGGCATCCAGTAAGCTCTAAATGTGTATTTGTTGAAGGATTTAATGAATGAGTGAGTGAGTGAATTCATATTTGGCAATATTTAATTTTTCTCCTATATCCAATGGAGTCAACAATCATAAAATAAAAATGAATGATGATGGGCTCAGATATCAGAAGAAATGTTCTTCAATCCCATTTTTATTGTTGAGACATGGCTTTATTATATGGACTTCTTTGAGTATTATAATTTGGGTTTAAAGGAAAAAGATTTGAGGGGTCTCAGTTTTTAAAATACATGGACCCTGCACTGAGAGGTTGCTTAGATGCCTTGACCATGGCCAGCTTTTCCCACACGTTTGGTCCAGGATGATGTCAAGATCTGGTCATATAGCTAACAGCCTGAGTAGTATGCCAGCTCAGTTACTAATAGCTGTAGATGATCATTTGAATAGCCCAGAGATTTGAATACCATGCATAAATTTTTAGCTACCTTCCCAGGGTCTCCAAATTTAAATTACTATAATAGTTATGTAGGACAAACTGGTTCCAGTAGTAGAAGGGCAGATATTTTTTTTAGGACACGAAAACCTTTCATGGGATAATATGAGACGAGTTCAAATGCAAGGAACTCTGAAAGAGGTTCATCTTGGCTTTCATTTATTCTGAAGAGTCATTAACTATTACCAGAGCATTTCTTGGCATCTGATTTTGTTAGAAGAGAAGGTGGACCCGCATGAAGACATTGGATGCCTGTAGGTAGACAGAGAGGATGAGGGTTGTAGGCGTGAGGGGAAAACGACTGCCGGGAAGAATGAAAGAAAGGCTGAGGGACTCTGAAAGCAAACTTGATGAAGGTTACTTCACCATCTTGCTTATTGTAGCTCTTGTGTTATTGGTCACATTTAGCTTTGGGTCCAGTTTGGTACAGGGTAAATCTGGAAGATGATTTAGAGTGAATCCTCACCAACGTAGCTGGAGATCTGCATTTCCAAAAGGATTCAGACCTAAACCGTAATGAAGTTAGAATTAAACCAGGGATGCCATCTCTACAAACTGGTGGGAAAGGCTTATGTGGGTAGATGGAGGTTTTTTAGCCTCTTATTCAAGCTTCTATTTATGGATATGGAACTTCTTCAATTAAATCATCCATCTTCTTTAGCATTGTCTCATCAAGGTCGCTGCTGTACTTGCTGTGCTAATACTTCTTGAACTAGGGACATGGTGATCTTGGCAGGCAGAGCTAAATCAGGGCTTGCTAAACAATACCCTCTCCAAGAAGCCTGCTCTGCTCACAGAGCTGAAAGTGATGCTGCTTCTCTGACCCATGGTAGGATTTCTACCATTCATTAGGTCTTTATCTAAATTTTTTTTTTGTTTGTAATACGTGAGGAAAAACCTCCTTATTAGATTGTAAATTCCTTGAAGGTGAGTATCATGCTATTTCCATGGCACCCAGTATATAGTTACTTGTATATGGGAGGGACACAATAAATGTGCCAGATAACGGTTTAAACACAGTCTTTCAAATAGACAATAGAGAAGAAGTGTCAGAACATTTTATGTGTAGATTGGTCCAAGTAGCTGTTGGATGCTTAGAAGACCAGACATTTGTTTAGCATCTAAACTTCTTTCTAATTTTGTGCTATGTATACAGATATAAAAGCGATTTTAGATGCCGTCTTGTCTTTTCTCCTCTTTTTCACAAATAAGGAGAGGCTTCAAGAGGTGAAGTGACTGGTTTAGTGTCTTCTAGTTAGTTAGTAACAAGGCTGGGACTAGAAGCCAAGTTTTCTGACTGCTGGCCTTGATATTCTTTCTATGGAACCATTCGTTCCTTCCGTCATTTATTGCACAACCTCTATATGCCAGATGATGCGCTAGTGCTCAAAATACAGTAGAAACCAGGCAATAGAGTCTTATGGGCAAGTTAAGCATCACATGTGCTGAGGCTTGTGAAGGGGGGAAGTGCAGGGATCTAAGGGTGATCATGTGCAGGGGACCTAACCTAGACACGGAGGTTAGGGCAGCCCTCACTGAGGACATGACCTTGGAATCAAGATGGAAAGGGAAGAGAATGAGTGAAAACATCTCAAGTGAAGTCTTTGGGGCTAGAGAAATTCAAATGGCCAGAGGAGTAAGCAGCTACAAACAATTACAGTAATAATAACATTTGTATACACAAGGAGTGCAATGCGCACCACCCGAAGGATGGACATATTTGAAACTCGGACTTGGTGGGAGGGACCAAGGGCAACATACGTAACCTAAACATCTGTACCCCCATAATATGCTGAAATAAAAAAAAAACTGTAGAAATAAAAATCAGAATAGTTAATATTCATTGAATGCTTACTGTATGTCCAGCCCTGCTCTAAATGCTTTATTGTTTTTATATCCTTTCATCTCATTTAATTTTCATAATAATTCTAAAAGAGGTAACCATTATCAACATCTTATAGATGAGGAAGAAAACGAAATGAGGCATCTAGAGATAAAACGACATAAATAGACTCTTTTACAGATGAAACACAAGGCAATAATTTTAATTTATACAAAGAAATGTGTTATCTCCTGTTGTCCTGCAAATGCACGATACTCTCAATTTGTTCTTCATTTTTCTTGGTTTTATTGCAAGCAAGAATAAAGATAAATAATGCTCTTCTACCAGAAAAATGATGTCAGTGTGATGATGATGGTAACTGACAGCCTCGGGATACGTGAGCACCCGGGAATGGTGCGGATGTGAGACATGGAGAGCAGCTTCTTTTGAACTCTAGACAATGATTTGGGAAATGCAGGCCTGGTATTGCCAAATCTTCTGAGTTTTTAAGAGAAACAAGAAACCCAAAATTTTATTTGAAATTTCCCAAATTTTTAAATTTGGTTCAAATTTGAAAAGTATTATGTAGGCCAAATAAACTATGAATCTGGCCCACATGAGATCAAAGCAGGGGACAGGCATATAAGATGAGGCCGGAGAGGAGTCACAGGTCAGGCTGCAGAGGACCTCTGAGACCATGGAATACAATCCAAGGACAGCAGAAAACTTGCAGAGGAGGTAAAGCCGGGACACGAAAGGTCACATTTGAAATGATGATCTTGTTCCTGCAGGGCTCTGACAACTTCTAAATGGCATAGCTCAGCTTCGAGAAGACCCTGACATAACCTCTAACACGGTACTTCTCTCAAACACATCATGCGTCTTCCTTAATTTGCTAGCTTTTCACTTTATCTCAACAAATCTTAGCTTCACTGTCTATCTCATGTCTGACCTCATGTTTCTATGCCTTTCTTCCTCCTTCTCTGGGAAGACATCTCTCAACTTCTCTCTTATCTTTTCAAGGGCAGTGAGTCCGCCTCTACAGCAAGGTGAGCAAGGTTTCCGTGTCCTGACAACATGCAGGAACTTCAAGGTTGCACAGGCTCTCTAGTGAACAGCTGCCTAATCTCAGCCTTCAACCCCAGAGACAAGGCTTCTGAAGCAAACCAAACAATGTCCAGCAGGAGGAGAACAGGTTTGAGGTCAGGAAGAACGAGGAGCGGCAGCCCCCTCACCTGCTCCACAGGAAGTGCAGTCAGAAGGCCCCCTTCCTTGGCAGCCCTGGCAGGTGTGGTGGCACGGATGGCATTGGTTCTGAAATTCAAATTTCCATAAGGGACAGTTCAAAACGCAGCGGCCGTCATCAAAAATCCTAGAAGAAAAGCAGACTTTTAGAATTTATCAGTGACTTTCCCGAATGGTCCTTCATATCAGAACATGTGGTATTCATGTTTCCCTGATTTGACTTCATTGTTCCAGAAACAGGGGGGATGCCTGGGACTGATCACTTTAGAATATGTAAAAATGAGTCACATACCCATCCTTGGCCCAAGATTTGGACCCAACAGCAGGCGTGCCAGAAACAGGCTGGAAAGCATCCTGATTCTGGCTCCAAACAAGCTAACTGGTGCCCACAGGGATTAGACCCAAATGGTGGGCCCCAGCCAAATCTCGCCAACAGTCAGATGGAGGTCTGCAAACTTTCCATGCACTAAATGGGCCTCTGATTCCAGAGACTTTGGAAAAAATATTTTTCTTTATCTATCAGCATGCTCACACTCTGCAAGGGAAATGTCACCTCCAAGGGCTCTTGAAGGGTGGAACAAAGCACTATTCTGCAGCTTAGGTGCTACTTATAAACTTGGTCTGTGCATATTGCAAGTAATCAATGAACTCTGATTTTGAGTGTCATTTTTTGCAAGCATTTTCTGATTTATGGGGTACTGCAGTCTCTATTTTATGCCTATGCTTGTGAACATCTACAAGGGCACTGCAGATGAGTTAGCATGTGGGCTTCTAAAACCTTTGGTTTTATATACGTACAATATATATCATAATGTCATTCTTAATATTTTTATAGTTTTGCTTCATTTTTCTTTGCAGAGTAATCACAAGAGCAAATGTGATTAAGTAAGTTGTATCTACGAATTCTGCTCAGAAAAATACAAAATGTTTATCAGATGCAGGAGTCAGATAGGTAATGTGAATAGATGAAGAGAACTGGCTCCACCCTCCAGTGTTTCTAATTTAGTAAATCTTAAGGGAAGGGAGCTGAAAATTTGCATTTATGACAAGCTCCTTGGTGATGCTAACGCGCTGGTCTGGAGGGCACCCTGAGACCCACTGCCTAGTAATAGTCTGGATTACTTTGAAATTTGCTAAATGATTCCCAGGTAGTATAGGTGATGCCAAATTGGTGTCTTGGAGAGCTCCCTTAGAGCAGTAGTTATTGTATTAATTGCACAGTTTAACTGAGCACCTAGCACATGCCCTTGGGGGCATAATGAGCTGTCCAAGACCGGGAGAGCTGAGTGGGCCTGCAAAGAACGGGAAGGGCTTCCTTCTCTCTCCACCTCTCTCCACTCAGGCCGGACACCACACGAAAGAAAGGCCAGGTGTAGGCCTCCAGCAACTTGTACCTGGAGTGTCACTGGCTTGTCTAAACCCCACTGTTTCCAGAGCCAGAGTCAACTCTTAACTGGAGGGTGGGCCATTTCTATCCCAGATTTGGAGGAAATTGGGGGGAGCAAGGCATCCTCAATAGTATGTCACTTGTAGCCTTCCAGCTGCTTCATTCTCACACCCTGTAAGTAGATGTCCTTTGCATCTTTTTGGAAACAGAATGGAATTCAAGCCAGCAACATGCCACAGAAGGCCACCTCGCTCTAGGATTCCTGGCCCCTCAGATTCTGGTCACCACACCCAGTACCACTGGAGTAAACAATCCTTTTGGCCCACTGCAGAGTGTGGAGTCCCAGATCTAAACAGACACTCATGCGCATCTGGCTGTCCACATCAAAACAGATCCCCCGCACCATGACATAGAGTGAGTTGCCTGTTCTCCCAGCCCAGAGTTGTGGCTGATGGCACTAATGCCAGCACGGAATATCCTGGTCTTCCCCTTGCTCTGGTTTCAGGGCTAGAAGATTTCTTAAGAAATAATCTGGATGTGGCTAGATTAAAAACAAATACAAAAACAAAAAACTTCCTATAAGAATAACTCCCACAAGAGCTTTCTGAGGATTTTAATCCAGGAAGCTACTTGATGTTCTGCCAAAAAGGAGAATGGGGCAAGTTTATTCTGGGGGTTCATTTTCTTGCTCGATTCAGGTAAGGAAGGGATGTAAAGTACATCATCATCTCGTCCTTTACAGGAAGAAATGACAGATTGGTTTGAAGGGTAATCATTTCTTGAGAGGCGATCTAATACTCTCAATGGGAACCATCTGAAACCACTCAGAAACAGAGGAGGAAGTAGACCGTATGACACTTCTATGTTTATGTAGGAGCATAGCTGCCTTTCTGATTTGATTTTAAGAACGTGTCAAGTGCTTTAAACCACCTGCTCCACCTCCACCCTAAGGAAAGCTTAGGTGACACACCCAATTTTTGTAAGAGCAAGATTCTTCCTAAAGGTAGGATGATAGGGACGACAGTTAAGCTTAAGTGAAGGCTCTGAAGTACATCACTTCCTGTACTCTCCATCCTCCTCAAGAAAAATTGCTAATAAATTTGAAGAAAAGTCCCATTGCTAAAAATTGCTAAGAAACTTGAAGAAAATGGCCGTAGTTTTCAACAGACACCAACACATTTTCCCAAGTGGAGGAGAAGAGATACTTTATGAAAGCAGAAAATGAGACTGATGATAATTTTCTTTAAAGCCAACTCCACACGTTTCTGGGACCACCAGTCACCCAGCTCATGGATTCCTGAGACACCCAGGCAGGCTCATCTCTCCAGGGGAAGAGTTTCATGGCTGCTCCTGACCTTTTCACAGGCAGTGAACCCTTCCAGGTCCAACACGGCTGACAGAAAGGGAGGAGGCAAATGAAACAAGGGTTAAAGACCTGGGAAGAGATGATCTCAGCATTGGCACTGAATATTCCAGAAGCCCCCACAGTGTGTATGTGTGTGTGTGTGTGAGACATGACTTGTAACAGAAGAGATGGCAAGTCAGAATTAGCTGGTCCTCTGTGCCGATTGTTGGCTTGGCCTCACCAAAGCCATCACAAGGGCACTTAATATAATTTCTTGGTGCTTTAATGTTCTAACAGAATGGAATCTGGTAAAAAACAAAATATTTTTTTCCTTTAAATTCATTAAAAAGAACAAATCAAACATTTGAGGGTGGGTCAGAACAAAGGTAACTTTTAAATGCTTTTAATTGGTCCATTAATTCTGTAACTCCTTTAGGACTGGGCTGGGAAATTAGCTTGGGCAGTGAGGACCACGGCATTGCAGAACTTTGCGTATTAACCACAGTGGCAAAGGGACCATGGTCAATTGTCTTCAAGGAGCTAAACCCAAGGGTTTACAGAAGTGTAAAGGAATCATGGTAGCTGCCTTATGAAACAAATGCTAAAGTGCCCTCCTGGTTCAAAAGATGTCCAAACACACAATGGGATTTAATTGTCAGTATGCTGGGAAGTTGGAAGAGAAACAGGACCTCATTTTGGGAATGTTGTCTGTATCTTATAGTGTGCCCTGAAGCTGCTTTAAAGTAAATTCAATATTTAGAGGGATGGATATCTCAAAGAGACACCTGGAAAGTGTTCTCATGGTTAGCATTAAAAATTCTTAAGACTATTCTTTTGTGTCTTCTTCCTTCCTTCCTTCCTCCTTCTTTCTTTCCTTTTTTCCTTACTTCCTTCCTCATTCTGAGAACCAAACCTATGATACTGATTATAGATTTTATCAAGTTCAATAAAACACATTTATTGAATTATTATGTTTTGGTCACTGTGGGAAATACAGGGACAAATAAACCACAGCCCCTGCTTGCAACAGTATTACAGTCCTGAGGAAGAATTGGGATAAAATGACCACTGTGCAAAGCAGAGGCACCTTCCATCCTGGAGACGCGGAGAACCTGCCACGGGAGCAGCCCCTTTGTCCTGGTCTGGGGGGAGACCCTGCTTCCCGCACATTTAGCAGGGCAGTGACGAGGCCATTATTTCATATGCTCAGCAGCCAACAAATATGAAGTGCTAGGATCAGAGGAGCATTGACTGAAAATACAACAGGCCTCCACCTTCTTTCATCAGAAATTCCCAGCGTCTTAGCAGAGGTGCTCACCCTATGCGCGCACTTGCTATTCCCTCATTCACTAGGTTATCAAACGTTTATTGAGCACCTACTATTATGTTAGCACTGTGGCTGGTACTAGAGATACAAAGAGATACAAAGACGGGTATCTTAAGGATCTTCCGTCTAGTGAAGAGATGGATTTGAAAATGAATGTCTTCAAAGCCTACAAGTACTCTTAGGAAAGTTTACATAGAGCAAAGGGGCGTAAAAAGGAAAGTTTAATTCTACCGGGAAGAGGTCAGAAATGCCTTCACAGAACAGTTCACTCTTGAACTGACTCTAGAAACGAGTAGATATTTGACCAGCAGATGGAAGTGCTGGTTAAGGGATGGACGTGCAGAAACGGATGAGATTTCAGGCATCAAAAGTGGCATCAAAGGTACCATATTCATTGCTGAGAAAATCTTTTCAGTGTCCAGGGAACGGGTCCTTGCAGTAGGTACTGCCCATCATGGAGAGAGGATGCCACAGAGGTGGTCTGTGGCTAGACCAAGCAAAACATCTGTGTCACAGACAGGAGTGTGGTTCTTTTTCCAGCAGCCCCTTGGGGTGGCTCTAAGGTGGTGAGCACCTCCTCCCTCCACCCTGCGACATCGGAGCTCCCCCCACCAGGAGATACTGAGTGGCCACTCACCTTGTGACAGGGCAGCCAGTGCAGTCTTCCTGGGTTGGCCCCCGGCACTGGGCACACGAGGCTTCACAGGTCTGGCAGTGGCCGTGCTGGTCAATGTATTCTCCTGGGGAGCAAAACCTAGTTGTTGACTTCATTTCTACATGGCGAGGCTGCCCGGGCTGTCAGTCTGAGAGCAGCAGATCTCTCTGTGGCTGCCTGAAAGCAAGGCTGACAGCAGAGAGCAGAGGCCCTGAATGGCCTCAGCTGCCAGCCCTAAATCCTGACCTTCTCATAACAACTGCTCCTCTCCCAGGAATTGGAACCTCGAAAAGTTATGAGGCAATGACATAATTCTGAATGTAGTCAACATGTGTTACACATTTTATAAATAGAGGAGGCCAAGGGGGGCTTCCTGCTGGACCCCTTTACCGAGCTCCTGCTGACTTTCCCATTAAAAGCTGAGGCCTCCTGGCCCGCAGAGGCCCCAGTTATAGTCTTAGCTCAAGTCAAACCATGAGCAGGACCCACCCAGATCTTGTCTTACCACCCCGCAGGGCCATGGGTGGGGGGACTGTGGTTACTGGTCAGGAATGGGAGTTGAGTCTTGGCTGACATTTGGCAGATGTGGGCTACGTCTCACCCTGAAAGAGTAACATTGGAGAGACAGCCAGAGAATTCTCCTTTAATTGGAAAGTTTATCTTTCCCAAGGAAAAACACAAATGAGGTCTTGCCACAGAAGCAAGTCCAACCTCACAAATTTCCTGTGAACATTTAAGAAATTAATCCCATGGCAAAAGCGGTGGAGAGAGGCCAACCTCACTGAAGGTGAAAATCCAAAGATGGGCTTCCACTCATCGAATCCAATCCTCCTACCCACACTACACTCATCCTCCCTGCCACTGTCTTTTTAAAAATCAATAGACTTCTTCAGTCAGATCCAAAAAGCCACTTTTTCTAGTTTGGAAACTGATCGTGCTCAGAAAATGTACTTTCAGATTTTGGCAGAGCGACAACCTTCCCTGGACCCCACCTCCCCATCGTCGACAGCCCTCCAAGCGTGTCTGAACACTGTCAATCTGAGATCCGGCTGGTGTGGTGAGGTAGTGGGACCGGCCCAGAGTTCAATCAAGTTGTCTCGCTGGAACTCTAAGATTCGCTGCCTGATTTATTGTAGCTACATTGAAAAAGCCTTGGAAACCTCGATTTGACTGGTGAGGGATGGAGGGAAATCCATCCCCTGGCCTTTTCCCCACTGCTTTACTGAACTGATACAGTTAGAATGTAAGTAGACCCTACATACCTACATGCCCCCCGCTGCTGGCACTAAACCACAAAGATGAAAATGATGAGACTGCTAGAGTTTGCTCCCCCATAGCAGAAAAAGCCTTTCAGGTAATGTTGTTCTATTTGTTTTGTTAACTGAAAGGGAAAAGCACGTGTTCCAAATGGTGCAAGCATCTAAGAGCAGCATACCCTGCACACCCTGCAATCTGTCTTCTAGCCTTCTCATTGTTACTAAGGGACACCTTGGACCAGGAATCTCATATATAATTTTCAGGATAGTACTGTGGTTCTTGGCTCAGAAGTGAGTAGGAGACATTCCAGGAGAACTAGGCCCCAAAGAGGGCCTAAGCAGCAGAAACAAAAGAGTGCAGATAAGCAGGTTGTTCACTGCACAAGGCTCCTGCCTGCCCAAATGGTCAAGTGGAGGCTGAAATCCAGGGTGTGTTTGTCTCACCATGCCATGCACTGTGGCACTGGCTGCCTCTGCCCCTGTAGGGAGCACTACTCATTAACTCACATGAAGGTGATGAATGGATTGGTTGCGTTCTTGGTAATCGGTAGGCCCAAGGCAGAAAAAAACTGGGAGTTCTGTTTAGCAGGAGTGATTGATTTCAAGCTGAGACTCTCATTTAATAAAGCATCATATTATATTTATGCAGCCTTCTTTTTATTTATTTAGGCTCCCCCCACTCCACCTCTTGTTTATTGCCCTTGCTACAGGCGCTTCCACTGCTGTTGTACGATGCACAACCAACTGACAAGCATGATGATCAGTCCAGGCACCAGCAAAATTAAGAAGACAGGATCCAGGGCAGACTTGATAGGAGGAAGTAGATATGGCTTTCAGAGGTCAATGCAAATGATTTGTGTTTACAGAGTTGGATTAGACCTATGTATCTTCCAAAAAATGTATGTTGAGTGGAACAGGAATGGAGGAGAGTCACAGAAGCTTCAAAACCCAAAGACAGTGTATTCTAGAAAAATGTGGACTCATAGACAGCATGGCTTATCCATTCATTCATTCCATGAATTTAAAAGAAAAAAAATCTACATGCATGCCAGGTAGTAGGAGAGATTTAGAGACATACAAAGGATACGATTTTAAATTAAAACATCTTACTACACTAAACCAAATGTTATCTAGATGGTTCTGAGCATTATCCCATATCCACACCCAGAGTCTTCTTTGCAATTACAGATGATGCATCACTAGGTTAGGCAAAGGTTAACAGGATATAACTGTGAAAATTTTAAATTCTCTTCTGTATCTCCTGCTTGCCTTTTCATTGGCTTCCATATGCCAGTAGGTGGCATTAATACCTTGGGTTTGCATTTCCTTGATCTGCTCCACTATAATGGCCTCTATTGGCACTCACAAAGTGCCACCGTAGACATAACGAACACTAGGGATTACCCCATCTCTAAGATTTCAGTTTTTATTTTTTTAAGACAGAGTCTTGCGCTTTCACCTAGGCTTGAGTGCAGCGGCATCATTATACCTCAATGCAACCTCCAGCTCCCAGGTCCAAGCGATCCTCCGGCCCCAGCCTCCTGAGTAGCTAGGACTACAGATGCACACCACCACACCTGGATAATTTTTCTATTTTTTGGTAGAGATGGGGTCTCATTATGTTGCCCAGTCTGGTCACAAACTCCTGGGCTGAAACAATCCTCCCACCTCAGCCTCCCAAAGTGCTGGGATTACAGGCGTGAACCATGGTGCCCGGCCCCCAAGATTTCAAATACATCTTCCAAATACACCTTCCTTCTTATACCCTGCTATGAATCTACATCACCTCCGGTGGCTCCCTACCACTACATGGCTATCCCTTCATTCACCTCTTTCCATCTCCACCTTGCATCCCCACTTGGGCTAGGCCAACCCATCCCAAAGCCCAAGTTCCACCCTAGTCTTTCTCAGAAGGAGACATTATCTCCTAATTTGCTGATGAGATAACTGAGTTCCCTCAGCTTCCTTTTTCTCAAAGTCAAAATTCCTCTCCATCTTCTCCTGACTGCTCACTTATCTTCTGTGTCTGAGGAAGGTATGTCTCTCCTCCTGGCCATTGTCAACTCTCTATCTGATGTTATTAATCTTCTTTCCTTGGAATATTTCTCCACCCAGTTTCTCTGTCATCAATCTCTTCTTCACGTCTTACATCGTTGTCTGATCTATAAAAGTTCTTCCCTAACCCAAAACCTTCCCAAGCCTTTCCCCTCCCTGATGATTGACTCTTAAAACTCATTTTCTCTTCCTACCATGTGGAAACAAAATGGAGAAAACTTCATAACTTTGAAGCTTATGTAAGAGAGTCAGCGTAGGACAGCTAAACTGCATCTCTCGTGAGTCTGCACATCTCTGCACTTTAGAGCAAGCTCTGGCTTTAGAACAGATGAAAATAGAGGGAGCTTCCCCCATTCCCATATTTATGTTGATGTCTAATTAGTTACATAAACAAGTGCCCCCAGCCCTACAAGCCAAGTTTTCCAGTGCACATTTGGAACCAAAGAAGCCAGATTCCAAGGACATAGGGAAGTTGCCTTTTTTTTTTTTTGGTTGTTGGAGCAGCAAATTCTTGTCATCTGTCTTCATTGCACAACAAAGCTGAATGTTTATGACAGGCGTTATATACACAATTTTTAGAAAAAGTCATTTTTAGCAGAGACTTCAGGGGCCAATATTTTGTTCTCCACCTCATCCTACAAACTCTTCTTTCTGGCATCTTCACCCATTATTATTATGTCCAAATTATCTTTCTCCTGTGATCAAAAATTTTCCATTCCCCTTTAGCTTCTTTCCTATCTTATCCTGTAATGGTTCAAAGGACACTGAGGAGGTAGAGTCACATGGAGAGGAATGATACTTCCAAAGTTGAAAATACAGCTTAAAAATGAATATTTGTAAATTAAAATAATTTACAAGTAAGTGGCTTACTCTACTTGTTCCATCTCTTGATAACATTACAGAATATTACCAACAAGTCTACATTATAAATAAAATGTATGACATCGTTCAGAATAGGAGAACATGTATCACATCATCCAAAGTTACGAAATATCATTGAAACCTAACAATATTTTTTGAGTTTATATGGCCAGAAGAGCCTCTTTTTCCCTGAAGAAATGCTATGCTTTCTTTTATACTTCATAGTATTTCTTTATTGATTAGAGCCTAATTTACTGTAGAATTCAAGCAAATAAAATGTACACTAAATAAATAAACACATAAGTAGATAGGTTATGATGTGAGTTTATCTTTAAATTTTTTTTTTATTTAAATAGATTTAGGGAGTACAAGTGTTTTTTGTCACATGGATGAATCGTATAATGCTGAAGTCAGGGCTTTCAGTGTGCCCATCACCAGAATAGTGTGCATTGTACCAAACAGGTAGATTTTAATTCTTCACTTCTCTTCTACCCTCCCCCTTTCTTAGAATAATGTGAGTTTAAAACAACTTTTTAGCGACGTGATTAGAAAGAGAAGGTGGAAGGAACATTTGATGAGAATTCAGCTGCTTGGTTTTTGATCTGCTTAATTCAGGTGAGCAACCTTGGAGTATTAAATTATCTGTAGACCTCTGTATGCCTTATCACTTAGATGCCAGGAATCATAGAATGTGACTTTACTGAATGACTCTACCATCACAAATGCTAATCAAATAATATTATACTATCTTGTTGCAGGGATGTCAATACATAGTTTCCAACTTAAGATACCAGTATGTGAACACAATGTTCATAAAAAAACCTATACATTTATTTCTTTCCATCAGCTACAATAAATACTCAGCAACACTCTCAACTAATTATATGCTAATGAAATAAGTCTGGTTTTTTTT